TAGACCTTTGATTGTGTTCTCCTTGTGTGCTCATTTAAGCTGGTGTTTGCAACATTTTGCCATAATCAACCAATCAATCTAAACTAACTAGATATCATGCATGTTACAATGTTGCCATATGTGAACTACTCAAAGTTCTCTTCCTACTTGCTTTTTTGGAAACAGGATCTTGTTATGTAGCTTAGACTAGTGTTGAATTTGTGATTCCTCCTGCCTTAGTCTCCTAAGAGCTGGATTTATAGGTGGGTGCTACCATGCCTGGCTTCTCCTGCTTCTTTAAGTCAAACCTTAATAGACTGTACATTGAAAGCTGGTGATAACCTGAAGTTCAAGTTTTGCTTTGCTTGGATGTTTTTATTTTATTTCTTTTTTAAATCATGAAATGCTATGAATTTTTGCATTAAAATAAACCAGCAATACGTAGGTCTATAAAGAATGTTTTTCACAGTTTTCTACATGTAATCGTATAGAAAAGAATGTATAATCTATTTTTAATACCATAAAATAGGTTCTATCTATATTTTTGTGCATGTTGAGGTACTTTTTCTGTGGCTCACAGGTCTCATCAAAGAGGTTTACGATCTATAAAAAACTTGGAAAAACATCCCACTCCTCTGATTTTAATGCTGACTTTGTGGAACACACACACTATCTCACAATTCAAGAATTCTTTGGAAGAAAACCAAGTAACAACACACACACAGAGAAATACAGATAAATATTCAGCACATTTCAAGCTGAGAAAAGGCTTTCTGAATAAAAAAAGAGGGAAACGAATTTCATTGACAAAAGGAAGAAAGATATCCATGCCAAAAAAATCAGCAAAATTAAAATAAGAAAGATATTTGCAAGAAATACAATAGTCAAAAAATTTAAAGGGCAAACAAGTTAGCAAGAAAACACAAAACTCCTTAGCAATTAGAAATAAAAGGATATGAAGTGACTACTTTCAAAAGAGAAAATATGAATAGAATAAAGTCATTTAAAAGTTAATCTCTTGAGTAATAAAAAATTCAAGTTAAAACAAGACCATTTTGCTTAAGGTATTAGCAGAGATTTTTTAAGGCTACACAGGGAAAAGCCACGAGGAGGTAAACATATTCAGGTATTATGGAACAAGATTATACTGATACAGTCTTTTGGAAAGCAGTTTTGTGGTGTGCATCAAATATTTACAAAACATTCACTTTTTGCTGGGCATGGTACGACCCATCTGCAATCCCAGCAATGGCTGAGGCAGGAAGCTCTAGAGTTCAAGGCCAACATAGATAGTGAGACCCTATCTCAAAAAACAAAACGAAACAAACAAAAACCCATCACTTTCTTTAGCTCAATAATTTAATTTCAAATAACTTATATCTAACAGAAAAAAATCCAAAATGTAAACATATTTTTTGAGCAAAGAGTTCACTTCTATGTTATCAATTTTTTTTTTCAAAAAAATCAAATATAGAAAAAATTAAGAGCATAGTTAAGTATATGGAAGTATATCCGTATGATTAAGTACAAAGTCACTGAAACTTCAGGGAGTTTTTGGGTGAGATGATCAAAAACTGCTTATCTGTTAAGTAAAGAAAAAAGATGCAAAAAAAAAAAAAACCAACTCACTGAGTTAGCTACAATGAGCATGTTACTGACACTTACTACAAAATAAATTTAAATTAAGCATATCAACTTTAGATCCTGGGTAAAGGCAGAAATATTTTCATGAAAAATTCCATCTCATGCCAATGAACAAATTATGAGCACAAAATTTCACTGATGAGAGAAAAGGTTTTAGTTTCTGTTCATCAGCGTAGATGCTCAGTAGCACTAATTCTTCTGTGACTTAGATGCTGTTAAGTGTTCTTTAAACAGTAAGTCATAAACTGTTCATTATCTTCAAACTAAAAAATCGACTCTTCAGGCAAGAAAATAGAAGCCTAATGAAGACTCCCTTCCCACTGGAAAATAACATGATTTACAAAAAGAACTAAAAATTATACAGTATAGATGACCCTTGAACAATGTGGGTTTTAAATGCCTGGGTGCACTTATTCGTGGATATATTATATTTATTTATTTTTCGAGGTACTGGGGCTTGGACTCAGGGCCTCCACCAGCCCTATTTTGTGAAGGGTTTTTCAAGATTGGGTCTTGCAAACTAATTGCTTGGGCTGGCTTTGAACTACCATCCTCCTGATCTCTGCCTCCTGAGTAGCAAGGATTACAGGCGTGAGCCACTGGTGCTTGGTGACAATTTGAAAAACTTGTAGCTTGAATTGCATAACCTAGAAATATCAAAACAATTAAGAAAAACGAATGTCACAAATGCATAAAATATATATAGCAATAGTCTATTTTATTATTTACTACCGTAAGACGCACACAAATCTGTTATAAAAAGTCAAAATTTGTCAAAACGTATCTGCACTAAAGCAGACACTATGTGATGATGCCGTTTGCCACAGAGACACAGAAGCACATGTATGCAGGGCTGCAGCAATGCGTCCACCTGCACAAAATTTACTGTGGAACAGGGTGACCCATTTCCACTTCCCACCACAAACAGCACGTAAAACACCCTGTGCCCAATCACCTCCCGTGAGCATCACCTCTTCGGTAAATTGCTTCCTGCAGTAAGAAGTGCTCTCTTGAAGTTCTCAGCATATTCTTCACTGTATAATACACATAACTTGCAGAATATGTGTTAACCAACTGTTTATACCATCAGTAAGGCTTCCAGTTCACAGCAGGTTACAGGTAGTTAAGTTTTGGTGGAGTCAAAAGTTATTGTCAGAGTTCCGTGGGTAGCAGGAGAAGAGAATGGTCACAGAGAGCACAAAGCAGGCTCAGTGTCCCATGTAGTTACCATCACACCCCAGGATTGCTGCAGCTGTGTGGCAACCCCATCAACTCTGTACAACTGAGAGCAGTGAGACAGAGACTGAGAATTGCCACCACTCTGCCTTTATCACGGCCACACAAAGCTGGGCACCATGGACAGCAAGGCAGGGACTGGTGGCCTAGGCCTGGGACAAGAAGGTCATAGCACAGGTTTAGGGAATAGTAAAATAGCTCAATGAAAGAAACAGTTATGGTATTGTCAATAGAAAGGACACCAAGAAAGATGTATTGTAGACCAGCCTGCCACAAAGAACAACCCCACCTGTAATCCCAGTTATTCCAGGGGCAGTAAGAGGCCTCTCACAGTTGGAAGCCAGCTGGGGCAAAGTTAGCAAGAGACCCTACCTAAAAAACAAACAAAGGGCAAAAAGACTGGGGACATGGCTCATATGATAAAGTACTTGCCTAGCAAATGCGAGGCCCTGAGTTCAAACCCCAGAACCACAAACAAAACAAAACAAAACCCATAAAACTTCCTATGCACAAAATAATCTCACACCAAAACCCTATTTTTTAAACATTAAAGATAGTTTATAGAAAATCTGATAATATAAAAAGACAAGAAATAATCTATACATCTAGCAGTTGGGGAGTATTGAATACTGGGGCTATGTGCACCTTGGATTATAAATTTCAGTGCCAACAGAGACTAAGCAGACAATATAAGTGAGGGCAGCGGGTCCATGCTGGGAGCTGAGAGCATTGGTGACCGGTAATTTAAAGGGGGAATACTTCACTAAGAATTGTAGCAACTATTTGATTCCATTCAGTTGTAGACCTTCTGCAAATGTGTACCCAGAACTGTCAGACTTTCCTGTTTTAAAATTTTTTTTATTTAGAAATAATTTCAAGTTTGCAAAAAGTTATAAAAATAAGATATAGTAAAGGAATACCTATCCCCTTTATCCACATTCTTTTATTGCTAATATTGGAGTCCATTTGAATTCTCTCTTCTTCCTCTTTCTTTCCACACACACACACACACACACACACACACACACACTTTTTTTCTGAACCATTTGAAGATATGTTATATACATCCTAGCTCTTTATACCAAAATACTCCTAAATACTACTTTTGAGCTGGGCCACCTGGAATAGGATGAAGGAAGAGGAGCATGAGGCAGTCCTCCCCACCACAAGAGGACCAATCGGCCACTATCCCAAACTGAGTTGGTAACATCAACCAGGGGTTGAAAATGATTGCATTAGACATTTGTCAGTCCGTCAGTGAAAACTATACTTCTAGTATATGTATATTTATTTACAAATTGGATACATGTACTAATCTACTAACATATGTGCCTTATGACACATATACTTAAAAAAGGATGAGCTAAAATTAAATACAAACACAAGATTCAAAATTTTCTCCCCATACTCCATGGAGCATCCTGTGCCCTCCAGACTACGTGCCTCCTATGTTGGAGGCCACTGTTCACTGTGGAGGCTCAACAGCAAAAGGACCACAGCCATTTCCAAAGCTGAGTCTGGATCCTGCTCCCTGGACTGTATCTCCTTACACCTACAGTGAAACACACACTGTTTCATTGCCTTCATAGCTTTGATTCATATTCAAAGTCATGGTGCTTATTAATGCTTACTTTTTAATATCTTTCTCCCCTTGCTCTCTTCAAGAGCCAAGGTCTTGTCTGCTTTACTCATTTCTAATTTATCAGCACCAAGGGCAGGGACGGCCATAGTAGGTCCTCATTAATACTTCTTTATGACTGGAACTAAACTCATTTCCTGAGACATCACAGCTGCTCCAGGCTCTAGCTCCTTCTCTCCTGCTTAGTCCTCCATTATAGCATGCAACAGGGAAGGTCCCCTGCCCCCTGCAGGAAGCTATCAATCCCCTACAGTATTTCTGAGGAAAGCATCTCAGCTTTAAAGAGCTGTAGAGGGTGGGGGCTAAGGACAATCTTGTTCTTCATGTTAAACATTGAACTGCAGTCCCAAATTTAGGACTTAAAAAAGTATATAATTACAGTTTCTCTAAAAAACATTTCATTTTTTAAAAAGAAATCATGTATTTCTAAGCTGGATTATCATTCTCACTCAACCAGTTGAGTTGTTCTTGTAGTTTCTGTCTGGAGAAGGAAGAGAGGTACCTGATGGTTTTCCACACGTCGAAGCCATCTAGAGGCTTGGTGCCATTGGTGCGTCCCCCAGCCAGCTTCACAAGCGTCGGCAGCCAGTCAGAGATGTGGATGAGCTCCCGGTTCTTCACACCCTTCTGTTTCAGCAAGGGGCTTGCCACGAAGCCCACTCCTCGAACGCCTCCTTCCCACAGGCTCCATTTTCTTCCTCGAAGGGGCCAGTTATTGCCCCCTGCAAGAGTCTGCCCTCCGTTGTCTGAAACACAATTAGGTGTTGGCATAAGTATGTGAAAGATGTCAGAATCAAAATGGAGTTGCTTCTGTCAACCCCAAACAAGCAAAAATAATAAATGAAGCCAAGGTTTTGAAGGAGGGGATCTCATGCACATATGCCTGAGGACAAGAATTTTCCCAAAGACTTGGCACAACTATAGCCTTGCACAAAGGCCACACAACCTTCCATAAGAATGCTCCCGCAAGGGCGTCTGCCCAACAACTGTCTTTTCAACCTTGGGCTGGTGCCACTCCTGTTAGTATAGCCAAGGATTACTGCTTCAAAATAACTTATGTATCTCCTCAGTTTTCCTGACAAAACATCCTCTTGCCTCAATCTCTTTGAATATACTCACAGTTTACTATGGCACATGTAACCCCATGGCAGTGCTCCACTGCTCCTGAATAAACTCATCATCTTTAGAAAATCTCTCCATTTGTTATTTAGGTGGAAAAGGACAATGTTAACTCTTAAACACATTCAAGAACAGAAGGTTTCTATGTATGCTTTGTAAAATGATGCTTGAGGAATAAAAATGAAAACCACTCCTTTCCCCTACTTACTCCCCTTCTCCCACCTGACACTGCCCTCTGTTACACAGACAGAACCAGTGTCCAGCATGGCACCTCTCTGATTTGAGACCTTTTGTCCTCTATGCACAGGGCCCTGAACAACGAAGCAGTGAGATGCCTGTGCCAAGCAACTGCCAAGTCTCAAATGCACATATTCAACTCTGTATTGCCTAGGAGAAGGAGGCCATGTGCACTGGAGTTCACCTGGACCATGAAAAGAAAACTCCAGGCGAGTTTCACTTAGTGACTTTATACTCCTGAGAGTGAGAACAGCAGACTTGTTAAGATTCTTCTTGGAAAAATGTCTAACATTTTAACAGGTAACTGAACTACCATTCCACTTCCTCATAGCCTGAGCTCCTTCTCAAATGTGAAAGAGATTTTTCCAATAATTTATAAATATCTCTGTAAACAGAACAATTGGGTATTAGAAATAATTTTGAGAAAACTTCCTCCCTTCCTGGCAGGTTGGCAAGATAAAGCTTCATGGGGTACATGCCAGAGAAGAGAAGGTCTCTCTCTCTTCCAAGATAGAAGGATGGCAGAGAGTGGTTAAGTCACAAGAGAGGCTGAGGTCTGGGATCTTACTAGCCAGGTGAGGGCTCAGAGTTAAATGTTAAGTTGGGACTATAAAAAATAGTGATATTTCTTGTATATGCAGCTTGTAGAATCATATTAGCTTCAAAAGTATCCATATACTAACGCGATTTTAGAGATAAATGTTAAGTAACACTTATTTGCATGTATGTTTTACTTACACATTTTTCTAAACCACCCTTATCCAGATGAACTGCATGGAGCAGTATGATAGGCCTGGTCTACAGAATGTTCTACGTAGCCCCCTCTTATCTTTGGATGATATATTCCAACACTCCAGTGGATGCCCAAAACCTCAGATAGTACCGCGCTCCATCTGTACTATGTTTTCTCCTACATGTGCATGTCTATGATAAAGTTTAATTTGTAAATTAGGCACAGTAAGACATTAACAACAATAACCATAAAATAGAACTATAACAATATATTGCAACAAAAGTTATAAGAAGGTAGATGCAGAGGCATGTGCCTGGGGTCCTAACTACTGAGAGGCTGAAGCAAGGGATTTCCTAAGCCCAAGAATTTGAGGCCAGCCTGGGCAACAGAGCAAGATCCTGTCTCATTAAAAAAAAAAAAAAAAAAAGTTTTGTGAATGTGTTCTGTTTCTCTTGCAAAATATTTTACTACACTATGTGTTAGTCAAAGGGATGATTCTGGTCTTATGCAGAACTAAGCAGAATGGAGCAATATTTCATTATATTATGCAGAATGGTGTACAGTTTAAAACTTAAGAATTATTGTTTGTGGAATTTTTCATTTAGTATTTTTAGACCACAGACAACTGAAACCACAAAAAGCGAAATTGTGGGGAATTACTGCATATGGCATGGGATGCACCTGGGAGGAAATACATCTGGTAATACCATCTCTGCACCAGGCACCACTGGACTCCACAGGATCTCTCACCAAGCCTGGGGTTGGACAGGGCTGGAATTAAGACCAGATACCAGTCAATCACTACCTGTGTGGCTAGGGGCAATGTGCTACCTTGGTTTCCTCATCTTTAACGGGGAGACACTAATTACTACTTCCTGTGTTAGGGTGAGAATGAAATGATACCACTTATTATTTTCAGCAGGGTCTTGGGCCTCAGCTAAGGTGTCAATGAAGAATGTGACTGCTGCCATTCTGTACATTTACAGCTATCCAAATAGTCTAGTATTATAATTAAAAGAAAGGGGGGAGGAGAGGGTAAAAGGCTGAATAGCTGATCCATGGAAAGCCAGGATTCCCACCAGGTCTGCTTGACTCCCCATGGCCTCTGCCTTTATAGCACCAGCCCCTCACGTCACTGGTACAGGGTAGGTTCACACATGTAGACTACAAAACCCCTCACTTCCCTGCGAAAGCCAGGAGCACTGGTAAGCCCAGCAAGGAGTCTATCTCCTTGAGACAGCAGGAGAGTTATTTCAGGGTGACCATAATTTCCTTTCTTTTTGTTGCTGGTAGGAAGAAATTCAATGCTCTACTAGCAAGAAGGCCACTGATGGAGCCTGTAACACACTGTCCTTAGCGAAGGGAAGTAGAGAAAGAGTCTCATGTTACATTAGATGAAAGCAACACTTCAACACGTGACAGATGACCACTGATCTCATCATTTGACATCACAGACTTGGAGGCCGTTTTCCCAAACCTCACTGCATCTTTCCTTCACCAAAAATCAAGGCCCAAGCGCTCACCTGAGCAAGTTTACAAAACATACATTCCATTTCACATTCAATACGCCACAGATTATCCACTCAGCTGTAATCACACAGCAAAACTGCAAAGAAAGCACTCTTCACATCATTTAAACCACCAGAAGGAAATGTTCACAGCCCACCCTGATGCAGATGATGGCTGAGACAGCACAGCTCCTTCTTCACTCTGTTGTCTAGGTCGCCATGAACCGTAGACAGTGCCTGGTGTCTCTGCTTTAAACAGAAACACTTCTTTGAGAGATCATTCAGTGAGTCCACATGTTTGTGCTCAATGGAAAATACTAGATGAGGATGGCGATGGAGATGGAGATGATGGGGAGAAGAAGGGTGCTGGGTCTGGAACCCGATTCTGGTCTGGAAGAGCAGCCCCTCAGATATGACTCAGAAGGGAAAGTGCTCTGGGCTGGAAAGAGAATTTGGCCACTGTTGCTACTGTAGAAGCTGGAAGGTGTCTCCCCACATAGTGGGGAGAGGTGCTGAAGCAGTCAGTGAGCATGACTGTTTTCCCAATTAACTCATGCTAATGTTTTTGCCATTAGCAATGATAAGTTATCACTGTGGTTTCCTCAATTGTTTTTCAAGAGCACTCTTAAGAGAAAGCACTGTCAAATGACACCTGGAATTTTTCCAGACTCTCTTATCATGGAGTCAACTTCAGGTGTGGCTGGGGGACAACAGCAATTCAGCCTCCCCTGAAGGGCTGCACCTCCACAGGTGGCTCCTGGCTAACCATTACCACTCATCAGCAAAGGACAGAAGCTACGAAGTTAGGTGTTTAGTTGACTAAATACATGAGAAATGGATGCTGTCCATCAGCTCTAGTATAATCTCCTGGGTATTTCAAAGAGTTCAACATAAGTGACCAGAATAGTAGCAAGAATGCCATAAGCTCATTTGAAACAAGGTAGAGAGGGAGTTTGCTCTGTTGTTTGCTGTCTGCGTAGGTAAAATTTTTAAAGCGACAACAGGACCACCACCATTTCAAATATGTTTCTTCTCATTTTCCCTCCTAATTTTCTATTTGGCCAGAGTTAATTTTTTTCTTCTTAAGAATTCATTTTCAAGATAAAGTTTTGTTTCATTTCCTGACTGACTTATGAAAAAATTTCCAAATCAAAATAAGATGGCTCCAGCTAGTAAAGAGAACTGTGAGATTTCTTTTTCAGAGAAAGCTTTTTTTTTTTTCCCAGAAATGTTTTGGCAGAGACAAAACCTAATTATAAAACCTTTACTGTCTAGAAAAGAAATGTCAAAATAAAACAAATGCTGTCATATGCAGATTGTAAATCTCACTCTATTATTCATTATTGAACAAAAATAGCTGTTAAGAACTCATGGAAAAGACAGCCAACAATCTGAGCAAAAACATTAAGTATATGACCATGAGGTCTTATCCTATCCAGCTGATAAAAGTTAACGGAAACCATGACAACAACATTAATTCTTGGGGCTACTCCCCAAATAAGTCAAAGCTGTGCCTTAGCTGTGGAAGGCTACCCTGATCCATCAGCCTGCATCTCTACCTCACTGGCCCCTGGATACTTCAGCCTGAGCTTCCCAACACCTCCTCCTCACTCAGAGGCTATGGAAGGAAAGGCAAGGAAGGCTCCAGCAGACTCATGCCAGGGCCTGCCTTCTCTGCACAGAGCACTCATTCAAGTGAATGATGGGTGAGTAGGCAACAACACTTTGAGAGAAGAGAAAAGCCTCTGTATCTCCAAACAGTTGATGGTTGCTTCTTTTGGAATTTTTAAACTACTAAAATGCAAATTTGATACTCATCTAAACAACTAGGTAAATTCAATTCTCTCCTGCTAAAAGATGTTGGAGTAAATATTCATTTACCCTGATAACTCATCTTACAAGCTGAGTTTTTCCTCAAACTTCCTTTTTTTCTTGCTCTCCATCCACTCATCTCTGCCTGAATCAAATGTGTATTTAATTCTACCAAGTCTAACTTTAACTTGGTTTTCCTATCCATCTCCCATTCTCCAGACCCACGGCCCTGGGTCAGGAAAGTCTTTCAACTGAGCTCCTGGGGTAAACAGGTTACACAGTGTCAAGCTGGCACCAGAGGTCACTCTGTAAAGCCCCAAACCCATCAGGCAACTTC